GGCTGGGCTTGGGCTCTGCGCCCTCCGGGCCGAGGCTCGGGAGCCGCCGCGGGCCCGGGGCATTAGCCTGGCGGGCGGTGGGGCCTGGCCCCGGCTCCTCCGCGGAGTAGGCCGGCGTCACGCCTCCCCGTTCAGTGAACCAAAGAGTGAAGGCGAGGGGAGGGAGCGGACCCGGGGGGCAGCGCAGCCCCTCGGGCGAGAGCGGGAGCCGCCGTAACGGTGTCTCTCCGGAGTCCGCTTCTCGCCCTTGTTTCTATGCTGCCGCCCTTAAACTTGGGGGATCGAGTCGCCCTTCCCGAGGCGAGGACGGGGCTGCCTGAGCGCCCTTTCGGTGAGCCCACCTGCGGTGAACTAACCCCGGCCGAGCTCAGCGACCGAAGCCGGGAAAAGTTCCTGAGCTGTCTTGCTTCGTTGTCACATTTATCTTTAGTTGTCAGACCACAGCAGTGTTTTTTCAGGCTGGCATTACCTGCATGATCTAAGTCATCTCCTTCTTTGCATGCACAGAAACTCAATCACTGATGCATGTGTTTTGTGAAGATATCTGTGTTATACTTTATCTATTTTTTTTAAACAGGCAGATGCAGTGATTCTTACTTTTCCAGAACTGTATTAGGCCAGATTCTGGGCCTTTCGTAGCATAAGTGACCTGCAGAGCTAAAAGGGACTTATTTGAATAAGTTTAATAGGATTTGGTCTTAAGATGCTAATGTGCTTGATCAATCAATTTTAAACATTTGGGAGAGTAAAACTGGCCAGAAAATGATGACATAATTGGAGGTAAAGGTAGGCAGAGCTCTGGGGATCCAAAGGGGTGTATGTAGTAATAGAGCTACTAATGAATGAATGAATTAATAGGAATGTAAGGACAAATACTTATTGAACAGAACAAGCACTTGTTATCCCTTTGAATTGTGCATTTCTACCTGGATAAGCTCTGGTTAAATTATCATAAACTTCCTGTAATTTCATGCTTAGTAAATGTACGTGATTGGTAGGGTTTGAAAAAACACATTTGAAATGTTTATATATAGATGACTATTTATAGCGTGTTAGCTCTCTGTATGAGAGGCTAAAGTGAAGAACCTGGTATTTTGCAGTCACATCTATGCATTAAACCAACAAGAATGTTGCTTATGCGCTAGGTTGGCTTTTACCATTGTTTTAAGTACAGACTCCAATGAGCAAAAACAAGGAGTGTGTACTGGTTTAAAATGTCATTTAAATGAGCAAGTACAAGTTTGAAAAAGTGGACATGGGTTAATTAAACCATTTTTCTTCCTGGTACAGTTGGTTGATCAATGCAAATTTAATATGCATCAGTTAGAGCTATGTGTGCCCACTGCAAAATAGGAAGTGGCCAAGATCTGAAATTTCTCCATGTTTTAGTTGTTGTTTCTTTGTGTATGGGTCACGTAAACTAATTTCTAATGTGGTTTAAAAGAACTGTATACATAAAACTTCAAGAAGAATACAGATCAGGGTTGTTTTTAAAAACAAAATATATTATCTGTGTAATTCTTCAGCATTGTATCGGACATGGCCTGTGCTGTAAGGTGCCTACTTACATACTTGGATTGGGCCAATGAATCATTCCTTTTAGTAGACTTGTTAAAGAATTTTGGGAAAGTTGTCCTGAGCAGACTGAGAATGGGAGGGATCCCTTTTCTTCAAAATAGATGAAAAACTCTTTTGTCATAATGTTAAGAGAATCTAGTAGCGTGTACCAGATTGGCTTTAAAGTTTTGATAATTTGTTTTTCTTGTTACTGACAGCCACGAATACTTAAGACCAGCAACGCAACCATGATCTTGATTGGTAAGATTTGGGAAGTGCTCTGCTCTCCATCCTTTGGATGTGCCATCTAGCAGAGCCTCTTTGAGCATGGCAGTTGGCATAGTTTGTGGATAAGTGAGCTTATTGGTGTTACATCAATGGTTCCTCAAACAGAATGCAGTGATACTTAGCTGTGAAAACAGTTTTCTATGCTGGTCTTGTTTAGTAATAGCAATGTAGTTAAAAGAAATTATTTACTTTTCCAGAATTTTGGGTAAGAATATTGCTTTTCTAGAAGGGGAATTAAAATGCTTCAAAAGGAAGAAAAGATACAACTCAGTATCAAAAGTTATTTTGTCTAAAGATGTTTGACAGTAGGAGATCACTAAAATTTTAAAGGGCTTTGAGTCTCACTCCATGATTCTCCCTGGTCTCACTGAAGGTTGGCTTGCTAGGATGGAGATTGCCACACGGAGCATTAGAGGGAAACCTACCAGTCCCAGCACAACCCTTTTCCCTTCCAACTTCTCAACCTCATGTACTGTCATTGTACTGGGCTGCTGGAAGACGAAAAGGGGCTGGAGGGAGGATGGGGGAAGTACAGGCTGGCATGACCCCTGCCTCTGCAGTACTGGAACCAAATGGAAGGATAAGCAGCACACAGCACAGGCTGTAGAGGATCATTTACAGCTGACAGCAAGACTGGAATAAGAGATGCACATTAATGTCATGAGGCCCCCTGTACTTGTAGATTAAGGTGTTTCTGCCATGTTGGTATGTTGCTTAATACTGGGTGGAACAGATCTTTAAGAAGAATCCAAGGCAGCGAAATAAATGCTGACAGGACAGTGGCTCATCACAATCTCCTCTAAGGCAAGGTGTGGTTCTTTGGCTTTGCTCTAACCAATCATTCTGTATGTTTGCCTCTACTTGTAGATGTGTATATCTTGCTTATAAAGAAAATTCTAGAACAAGATACTCTGTTGCACATGCTTCTTCTGCATATGTTTGAAAGACATTTGTCATATTGCTCACTATTTCACTGGGAGGCTCATGGGCAGTGTCCCTGAGCAGTAGATGTGACTAGAGGAAACCACCAACTGATAGTGAAAGAAATTAAGGGGGAAGTTCTCTGTGAGTTTTGTTGTTTTTTTTAACCTTTCCCTCAAATAACTGTAAAAGGATTTCCCAATTCTTGCACTTCAGTCTGTGGAGATTTATTAGGTTTCAAAACACCACTACTAAAACCTTTTCTCTGTAGCTTTTTTGGAAAGGTGTCATGGACAAACAGAACACCTACTTCTTAATGTTTGGCAACACGTTTGGAAGAGTGTATTTGTCCTTTCCTATTCTGAGAACATGAAATGTTGGTGTGTTTTCTGAGTCTTACCTAGTTTTCTAATTAGTAGCTTCTCTTCACTTGGGGTTGTTATGGAAACCTCGTGTATGTTCCATTTATGATTCAGTAGCCCCACTGTCTATGTATGCTCTTCTCTAGAAGTTGCAATTTATCATTGCCAGATAATATTTAGTGTTACAGTTGGTCTTGCACTATAACATTTTATAATTTTAGTGAAACTTCAAAATACTACTTATATAACAATGCAGTTGCAGCTGTTAGGAGCAGTAACTTAGAAAAGGCACTGGTCAATGCACTTTTGAATTTCTTATTAAACTTTTAATTGGAAAAAATACTGTAGGGTAATATTTCTGTTTCTTGTTTTACTGGCACTGCCTTTTATGTCTTAATATGACACCAAATACCCAAATAATGAAAGGAAAACGAAATAAAATTATGTCTTTTAATATTAAATGCTGTAGTAAGTTGCCCAAAGAGAAGTTGAACTCTATATGTTTTATGTATAGAACATATTTCTGTGCATTTGCCTCTCCCTGAATATGTATTCAACAAATTTTATAGTTGGGAATCCTGCTGAAAATGTAATATTCTGAACTTGAGCATTAGTCAAAGATTGTAGTTACAGACAAATTTTAGGCCACTGAGCCTTATGCAACAGAAGGGGTTCCCTCTAAGAGTAGCACGGGAGGTCTGAGGTGGCCATCATCTGTCATGACCTCTAAGAATGAAATAGTAATTGGGAGGGGGGGACAGGTGGGTGGGAGTAGAGGAAGCTTAGACTCTTGCTATGAAGAAGGATTGCATTCTTCTTGTGGTGTCATGTGATGGGAAAGATTCCTATTGGGAGTGCTCAGGAGGAAAGAGAAGAGAAACTGAACTGATTCTTCAAACAGAAGACTCAGTGCTGGAAAATGTTTGAATGAGTTATTGACAGTAGGGTGTCAGAGATCCTGTTGCTGGCAGCTGAAGAACTCTGTGGTAACACACTCCTTGATTTTTCTTTTGATATCCTTACTGTTCTCCTCCATAATTTGCTTTTGGGTTTTTTGACAGGGCAGCTTTCTTAAGCGAGAGACTAGTCCTTTTCTTGGGAAAGCAGAATTACCACTGGCTATTCTTATACATGCCCAGCAGTTATCCCTTGTGTTTTAATCAGACCTATTTCTTTTGAAAGACTTGAAAGATTATATGCTGCTATTCAGGAGATCCAGATGTTCACCTTGCAGGCTCTTCTGTAAGCCTCACTTGTACAGTTTCCAGATATTTTGTTTGCTTGAAGGGAGGGAGTTGTCTTGCGTGAAAAGCAAGTATATGAAATACGCTGTAAATCTTATACCACAGCTTCTTAAAAATGCTCTTCAATAGAGTCTAGAGATTTATTCAAGTAATAGGTGCTTTGATAATGGAGTGGTTTTGGATGCATTAGCAATATCTTTTTCTTTTTTTTTTTCCCCACACACACGGTCTCCCCTTGTTTGAAAGAGTTTGCTAGTGATTTAGTGGAGGAACATAGGAACATTTGGGAATGTAAGCAGAAGAAATATAGGGTGTAGATGTCAAAGCCTAAGGAATGTTTTCTTCCAAAACTCTGAACTGGAGAGAGATCCCCTGAGAAGTAGAGGAGGGCAGGTGCGTTGTAGAGAATTAGGAAAGCAAGTGAGATCAGATTTCCTTCTGAGGGTTTTGCCTTTGCAGTTCTTTCCCCCGATATGTCTTTGTGCATCAGAAGCATGATAACTATTTGTAGAAACATACATAATTTTTTTTTTCAAAACTGTTTGTAATGTCAACTGCTTATATAATCTAATTTTTGAAAAAGTTCATAACTGATATTTTAGAAGTTTGATTAGCTTTCATTTTTTTTGTCATCTACTGGCTTTCTGGTATTTCATTTTACATTGTTAAGAGTTATTCTGTAAAGCTATTGATATACTCAACAGTAATTCAGGATATTTTTTTCACTGCCAGTTGAGGATGCTGTATTTCTCCAAACCAGCTGTAGGACCCTGATCATATTAAATTGTGCTCTGGTGATTACAAAAAGTCACAAGGTATATTGCAGAGTAGTTCCATTTTGTTTCCTTTTTTTCATGTATGCTACTACTGAGAAGCTATCCTGATAATACACCCTTTAAAGCTAAGAGCCATTCATGCCATTAAAGTGTGCAGAGTTCCAGTACTGTGCCCTCCAGATA